ACAAATCAATCTCTCCTTTGCTGCCATCACCTCAAGAAAACCCACACGAAGTCTCTTCACTCTTCAAGGCTCGCTCTAGACATCTTGTAGCACAGATCATATCCACAGGAAATTAGCACTAAGAGAGAAAATGATCATCCCATTCCTACACCCTGCTACCTACCGAATGAACAGATTACTGATATCTCGAGCTCCTGGGCCCATTCTCATACAGTGTGTGAAAGAAAGACATGGGGAGTGGCCCCTTTCTCTCTCTGTCTCTCTCTTTCCCTTTGTCTCTCTCTTTCTCTCTCTGTCTCTCTCTCTCTGTCTGTCTCTCTCTGTGTCTCTGTCTCTGTCTCTCTCTCTCTCGTTCTCTCTCTCTGTATGTGTCTGTTTCCACCCCTCTTCTCGGTCTTGATTTTTCTTTCTCCCTCAGTCTTTGGTGTGTGTTTGAGGTCTGAGAGTGTTCCTGCTCCCAGTGTGTTGTTTGTGCTGCTAGGTTCTTGGGGGCTGTTTGGTGTTGAAGTTTGATCCAAGATCTGGTGAAGTTCCAAGGTTTTCCTTGCAGCAAAACCATATATGGAAAGCCATGTAAGGGGTCTGATACACTGTAGAGATAGCGAGGAGGTGTAGATGCCTTTGGATCTCAGGCCATGAGGTTGGGAATTCTCAGTGGGGGAGTCTTCTCCTTCTAACCTGTGTGAATCCCCATGGGAGGAAATCAGCATTGAATCTGTCTGTCCAGAGATGCTTGGAAGGCCGACTTGAATTCTCCAGCCTTTTGTGAATCCTGCTGACTTTGCCCACAAGCTCCCGCTAACTCTGACTCCTACCAGTACCTGATTGTGCTCAGTCGGTGGATGATATGTGTGATGGGAATGGTGAGTCTTATGACTCCTTTCTGCTTCCTGGGTTTGGGTGTAGGATGGGGACCCTAAGGCTTGCAATGGATCAAGAGCCTTTGGGGAGAGTTTGGTGAGTTCCAGAGAATGCTGGAGGTCTGCTTCCGGTTTCCCTGTTCTCAAGTGCCAGGCATGGCAGGTGTGGCGCTTCTTGTCCTGACCCTGAAGGAGGGGTTCTGGTTGTCTGTAGAACAAGGCGCCTCTCGGGTGGGCGGGGCTAGCGGAGTAGAGGCAGAGGTATATAAGGGACAGTGAGTGGCCCCAGCCAGACTGCTGACACTTGCTGGAGCTTTTGCTTGCTCTGGAGCTGAAGTGAGTAGCTCGTCCAGGGTGATATTTCCTGCAAACCTTCGTTAGCAGCATGGAAGCTGGTAGCAATGTGGATGTTAGCAGCATGGCTCGGGAATCCCGGCAAAGGAAGACGGTTTGGCAGGCCTGGCAAGAGCAGGCCCTGCTGTCAGCTTTCAGCAAGAGCAAATACCTGAGCTTCGCAGCCAGGCAGAATCTGGCCAGGCAAATGGGAGTCCCTGATTCCCGCATCCACGTGTGGTTTCAGAACCTCAGAAGTCGCACTGGAGCCGTGGGGCACG